ATGAATTGATCATTGGCTAGCTACATTTGATAAGATAATAAGTCACACGTATTGGAAAATCTAGACATATAAGTCTTAGACGTGACTTCATAAGGAAATTAATTAAGGATGGAACAATTTTCTTAAATTATGTAAAGTCAATCAAGAACTTAGTAGATCCTTTAGCTAAACCTCTAAATAGAGAATTAATAGCATCTACTTCAAGTATAATGAGGTTGAAACTCCTAAATTAAAAGGTCCACCAATGACGGCAACCCTACCTGTCATTACTCAAAGGGTAATCCACGGGTTCAAAGAGTAACAACAAATCATTTGATATATAGATAGTTTCAACATTATAAAAATCCATGATAACCCTATCCTAATTAAATAATGTTGGTTGTTACTGGATTGAGGATTGGGCTTCAAGCTCATAATGAAGTTAAGTACTAAATACAAGTATCTCTAAATGTACCAAAGATACTAGAAGAACTTCATGATATGATCCAGGAGGTGAAGGTCAAGAATTCAAGTCCGAGCAGAGATCCATTGATCGTTGGAGCTGGTCCGATGACTTGGACGAGGGCAAAGAAGTTCAATCAACAGTTGAAGAAACATCGGTCTTGGAGCAAAAAGGAACATGTTTGGTGTTGAGCTCAGGAGCTGAATCCAAGTGGTTGAACTTAATTCAAGTCCAAAACGAAGTTGATGAAGTGCCGAAATTTCGCTTGCTCATCGCTTGACCCTCGCTCGAGCGAGAAAAGTTGAACCAATGTCGCTCGCTTTTAGCTGGGTCTTTGCTCGACATCGCTCGAGAGACGCTTAAATTCAAGATTTTATTTTTTTACGCATTTTTCCATATTTTTGCAGAATTTTATTCCAATTGAACTACTTACCATATTGGAAGATTATGAGATAAATAGGATTTTATTTTCATTGCATTTAGAACTTTACATTATTTTGAGAATTCAATAGGAGAGGCAATTTACTTTCTTCCTTCGTTCTTCTTTGAACAATCTTTTGAACTTATCAAAGATTAATTATTTGTGGCGTCCAGCATTGGATCGTGGGTTCTTCAATTTGTAAATGAGGGGTTCATCGCATCACAATTATCTTTGGGTTTCTTGTTTCAGTTTGTCGGGTTCAAATCCAAAATCAGATTATCAATTGGTGTTCTTGAGTTCTGCATCAATCTAATAATGGGTTTTCATAATTACTGTTGCTACAGGGTTCACATCAATTGGTATTAGAGCTTTGGCTCCAATATAATTAGGTTATATCTTTGTTTTCTTGTTTGTTCGCCAATTTCTTTCGTTTCCTAGTTCTCCTTTTGTGTTCTAGAGTCATTCTTTGTTCCTTGTTCTTAGATCGAAATTTTTTTGGTAGTATAATCTTGTTGTTGTTTTATAAAAAAAAAAAAAAAAAGAGTTACTGTTCACATAATTTTTTTTTTATGGGTTTACTACCAACATTCCAAGTTTGATTCACAAAAAAAAAAAAAAAAAAAAATTCAAAGTTGTCAAAATCATTTTAAAATCTTTATTACACCTCCATTGTTAAATTGTTTAGTTGAGTCTTTTCAAAATTCCAATTCCATTGTTCGAAAATCCCTTAAATTATATTCCTTGACTTGCATTCGGTCTTGAGTCCACAAAGTTTGAATCCGGTGAGTTCATTGATTGTTCTTGGAAGCACTTATTGAAATCATTGAGTGGTAAAAGGTAGATGGTGAGCTTATTAGAGGGTAAAAGCCATATTTTGTGATTTTCGAGTGAATACGGATGAGGCAAATAAAAATTTCTAGTTTTAGGATGTCTAAATGAGAAGATCCCAATTCAAGCCAACACAGCAATCATAACGGTGCAATAAATGATTTGATACAGCGATTTGAGAGTACTTTTGGAGTTGTGAGGGATAGGTTGGATCAACAGGAGGCTTGGATGACTAGGTTAGATGCATCAGTGGCTAATCTTCATAAGGGACAGCCAATAGAGATGTCAAATGCTAGGGGACTAAGTAGGCGAGAACCTAGGAAGGTAAGGTATGAGGAATATGATAGTGATCTAGATGAGTATGAGGCTAATGACATTGATTTGGGATGGATGACGAATAGAGGCTATAGGTTTGAAAGACGGGTTAGGAATAATCATGGAGATGAGATGGATGGGAATCTGGGTAGTATCAAAATGACCATTCCACAGTTTAAAGGGAGAAGTGACCCGGAAGCATACTTAGAGTGGGAGAGAAAGGTAGAATTAGTTTTTGAGTGTTATAACTACTTGGAGGAGAAGAACGTCAAGTTGGCAGTGTTAGAATTCATTGACTATGACATAACCTGGTGGGATCAAGCGGTTACTTCACAATGTAGGAGTGGGGGAAGACTAATTAGCACATGGGATGAGTTGAAGGCATTGATGAGAAAATAGTTCATTCCTAGCCACTATTATAGGGAGATCCACTTAAAATTGCAAAGCTTGTATCAGGGGTCAAAGAGTATAGAGGATTACCACAAGGAAATGGAGATACTCATTATTAGAGCAAATGTGGTGGAGGACCGGGAAGCTATTATGGCAAGGTTCTTGAATGGTTTAAATAGGGAAATTACTAATGTAGTTGAGTTGCAGCATTATGAGAAATTAGAAGACATGATGCATGTGTCCATTAAGGTGGAGAGATGGTTGAAGAGGAAAGGGACAGCTAGGCAACAACTCGGTACTTCGGGTTCTAATTCATCTTAGAAATCGAGGAGGGAAAATAGTAAAAGAAATGAGGCTATACCTAAAGGCATGAATGAATGACAAAAGGGAAAAGATGAAGATGCTAGTAAAGCAATGCCTAAAATGGAGTCACAACGACCAAAGAGTCAAGAAATCAAGTGTTTTAGATGCTTGAGGTCTGGGCACATCGCTTCTCAATGTCCAAATAAGCGGGTGATGGTGTTGCTAGACAATGGAGAAGTAGTGAGTGAGAGTGAAGGAGAGTACGATGACATAGAAGAGGATAAGGTAGAGTTTGTTGTTGGGGACTTGTTGGTTTCGAGGCGAACTTTTAACACTCAAATCAAGGAGGATGATTCGGAGTAGCAGCGGGAAAATATCTTCCATACTCGGTGCCATATCTACGATAAGGTATGTATTTTGATTATTGATGGTGAAAGTTGCACAAATATAGCTACCACAACTTTAGTTGAGAAATTAGGATTAGCTTTACTTATACACCATAGGCCTTATAAATTGTAGTGGTTGAATGAAAGTGGAGAAGTTATGGTGAACAAACTGGTTTTAATTAATTTCTCGATTGGGAGTTATAGTGACAAGGTTGTACGTGATGTATTACCTATGCTTGCGGGTCATATCTTGTTGGGAAGACCATGACAATATGATAGGAAAGTTACACATGATGGGTATAGGAATCGGTATAGCTTTGTCAATGATGGGAAATCCATTACTCTTGCACCGTTAACATCGGCACAGGTGTATGAAGACCAAATTAAACTAAAAAATGAGGAAGAGAGAAGAGTGAGAGAGCTTAGAAAAGAGAGAGAAGATAGTGAGATACTGAGTAAGAGAGAAAATTGTGAGGTGGCCGAGAGTGGGAAAAAGAGAGAGGTCACATGAAAGGAGAGAAAAAGAGTCAGTTGAGTGGAGAAAAAAAAGTTAGTTGAGAGGAGAGAAAAGCTGAAAGTAAACTTTTTTGCGAAGGGGAGTAAGTTGATAAAAGGTAAACATTGTTGTTGTTGTTGGTATAAAAAGAGTCATTCCTCAATTTTGAGGAATCTAACACACCCCTCCCTAGTTTGGTTAAGTCTTTGTTGCAGGAATTTGAATATATACTTCTAGAGGATGTGCCAAGTGGATTACCACCAATTGGAGGCATCGAGCATCAGATCGACTTCATACCTGGAGCTATCATTCCAAACAAACTAGCTTACCGAAACAATCCCGAGAAAAAAAAAGCTTCAGAGGTAAGTGGAGGAGTTGATGAGCAAAGGATATGTGAAGGAGAGTATAAGTCTATGTGTTGTGCCTGTTCTATTGGTGCCAAAGAAGGATGCAACTTGGAGAATGTGTGTGGATTGCAGAGCTATAAACAACATAACGGTAAAGTATCGTCACCCAATACCTAGGCTAGATGATATGCTAGATGAATTTCATAGTGCTTGCATTTTTAGTAAGATTGATCTTAAGAGCAGGTATCATCAAATTTGTATGAGGGAGGGTGATGAGTGGAAAACGGTATTTAAAACTAAATATGGATTGTATGAATGGTTGGTTATGCCGTTTGGTCTTACTAATGTACTGAGCACTTTCATGCGTTTCAAGAATCATGTTTTGCGTGCTTACATAGGGAAATTTGTTTGTAGTTTATTTTGATGACATTTTAATCTATAGCAAAGACCTAGATGAGCATTTGGAACATTTAAAATATGTGCTTGTTGTGTTAAGGAAAGAATAACTATATGCTAATTTCAAGAAATGCACGTTTTGTACGGAAAAAGTTGTCTTTCTAGGATTTGTGGTGAGTACTAGTGGTGTAGAAGTAGATGAAAAAAAGGTAAAACCTATTAAAGAGTGGCCAACACTTAAAACCATAACTGACGTTAGGAGTTTCCATCGTTTGGCTAGTTTTTATAGGCGATTTGTAAGAGATTTTAGCACAATCACATCAACATTAACTGAAATTGTTTAGAAAAGCGTAGGTTTTCACTGGGGTGAAGCACAAGAACTTGCATTTAACATTATTAAGGACAAATTGTGTAAAGCACCTATTTTGGCATTACCTAACTTCGATAAAACATTCGAGATTGAGTGTGATGCATTAGGGATAGATATTGGAGCAGTGTTAATATAGGAATGGAGACCTATTGCTTATTTTAGTGAGAAGTTAAGCGGAGCTATACTAAACTATTCGACATATGACAAGGAGTTGTACTCACTTGTTCGAGCATTGGAGACTTAGCAACATTACTTGTGGCCTAAGGAATTCGTGATGCACACTGATCATGAGTCCCTAAAGCATTTATGAAGTCAAGGTAAGTTGAATAAGAGACATGCGAGGTGGATGGAGTTCATAGAGATGTTTTCCTACATCATCAGGCATAAACAAGGTAATGAAAATGTGGTTGTGGATGCGTTGTAATGAAGGTACATGCTTCTTAATTCTTTAAATACAAAGTTACTTGGTTTTGAAGATATAAAGAGCATGTATGAAAATGACATTGATTTCTCTAGCATATATGAATTATGTGATAAGAGAGTTGTTGATAAATGCTATAGGCATGAAGGATATTTGTTTAGAGAAAATAAATTGTGCACACCTAATTGTTCTATAGGTGAATTGTTGGTAAGGAAAGCACATAGTGGAGGTTTAATGGGGTACTCTAGGGTTCAAAAGACTTTAGACATGTTAGGAGAACATTTTTATTGGCCTAAAATGCGAAGTGATGTAGAATGAGTTTGAAAAAAATGCATAACTTGTAAAAAGGCTAAGTCTAAGGTTTTACCTCATGGTTTGTATATTCCTTTGCCAGTACCTAGTGAACCTTAAGTTGACATCTCAATAGATTTTGTGTTGGGTTTGCCTAGGGCAAAAAGAGGTCGAGATACAATCTTTTTAGCGGTTGATAGGTTTAGTAAAATGGCACACTTTATACTATGTCACAAAACCGATGATGCCACTAGCATTGCAGGATTGTTCTTTAGGGAAATAGTATGATTGCAAGGAGTCCCTAGGAGCATAGTGTCTGATCGTGATGGTAACTTTTTGAATCATTTCTGGCGTGTTTTGTGGAATAAGTTAGGAACTAAAATTTTATTTTCTACAACTTGTCACCGACAAACTGAGGTAGTAAATAGGACCATAACTCAATTGCCTCGAACTGTGATCAATAAAAACTTGAAAATTTTGGGAAGAGTGCTTACCATTTATTGAGTTTGCTTATAACAGAGCTGTGCATTCTACTACTTCATTTTCACCATTTGAAATAGCCTACGGCTTTAATCCACTAACTTTTTTGGATTTATTGCCTTTGCCTGTAAATGAACGAGGTAGCTTGAATGGTAAAAGAAAAGCTGTGTTGGTAAAGTCACTCCATGAGAAGGTTAAGATATAGATCGAAGAAAAGAGTAAGTTGATTGCATCAAAAGTAAACAAAGGGAGAAGACGCGTGACATTTGAGCCTGGAGATAGGGTCTAGGTACATTTCAAGAAGGAGCGTTTCCCGGAGTAGAGAAAGTCCAAATTGCAACCGCGAGGAGATGGACCTTTCCAAGTCATCGAGAAAATCAATGATAATGCATAAAAAGTGGATCTGCCAGGTGAGTATAATGTTTCGGCTACATTTAATGTTGCCGGTCTATCTTTTTTTTATACAAGTGCAGATTCGAGGACGAATCCTTTTGAAGAGAAAGGGGATGATATGATCTAGGAGCCGAAGGTCGAGAATTCAAATCTAGGTAGAGATCTGTTAATCGTTGGAGCTAGTCCGATACTAAGTCGAAGGCAAAGATGGTCAACCAGGCAATGGGAATGCTAGTTCAATCAACAGTTGAAAAAACATTGGTCTTGGAGCAAAAAGGAACAAGTTTGGTTTTGAGCTCGGGAGCTAAATCCAAGTGGTTGAACTTAATTCAAGTCTAGAACGTAGTTGACGAAGTGCAGGAATTTCGCCCTCTCATCGCTGGACCCTCTCTTGAGTGAGAAAAGCAAAACCAATTTCGCTTGCTTTTCGTTGGGTCTTCTCTTGAGAGATGCTGTTGTCGCTCGAATTTTGCTTGATGTCGCTCGAGCAATGCTTAAATTCGAAATTTTATTTTTTTAAGCATTTTCCACATTTTCTGCCAGAATTTTATTCCAATTGAACTACTTACCATATTGGAAGATTATGAGTTCGTTTTTCCATAATTTTTAGGTTTAGTATAAATAGGATTTCATTTTCATTGTATTACATTATTTTTAGAATTCAAGAGGAGAGGCAATTTGCTTTCTTCCTTCGTTCTTCTTCGAACAATCATTTTAACTTATCAAAGATTAATTCTCTGTGGCGTTCAACATCGGATCGTGGGTTCTTTAATTTGTAAAAAAGGGGTTCATCGCATCACAGTTATCTTTGGGTTTCTTGTTTCAATTTGTCGGGTTCAAATCCAAAATCGAATTATCAATTGGCGTTCTTGGGTTCTGCATCAATCTAGTTGTGGGTTTCGTAGTCACTGTTGCTTCGGGGTTTGCATCACTTCACCTAAAAGAACTTCGAGGTGGTGCCACCTCAATAAAGAGTTGGAGTTTTTCTCTCAAAAGTTTGTTAAAAATGATAAGTGCAAGGCCATATTAGCGCTAAGCGAGTTTGAGAAAGTTGAGAACGCGTGATACTTGTATATGTTCTTACCAGTATTGCCACCTGGAATAACTAGTTCAAAACTTCATGCTACCTTTGTTTCCGACTTTACTTTGTTTATATTACGCTATGGTTAGATTTAAATCGAAAGTTATCTAATCCTTATGCATGAGCATTGTAAACCTTGAATATGAGATTTAATGAATTTTTGAACAAGTGGGGATTGATGAGAATTGTTGTTCAAAATCAACAAGTGAGATGTGTGGAATGAAAGTGGAAACAAATGACCACATACGGGCCAAGCCCATGATCTATGCGACCACATAGACCCTAAAAGGGTGCAAACACACAGAGGCTTTCGAACAACCTATGCGGTCGCATAGGTTAATACTATGCAACCACATAGAATAATCATAGGATCGTTAGTAGCCATCTTTGTTCAAAATTTCGGTAGCTTTTGAAGGTTTTTTTGGTACGACTTCATACGGCATGTTTGAAGGCTATAAATATGTGGTTGATAACCTAGAAAAAATATTGAAAAATCTATAGCCACAATTAAGATCAAACTATTCATTACAATTATATTGAAATTCATGGTCAAACCTCTCCTTTTGTGCTCTTGAGTTTTGTAGAATTACATCAATGATTAAGTGTTAAATTCTCTACAAGGCTTGATTAATCATTCAAACCATTTGCCTAGGAACCCTATAAGTACCAAAATTGTATCTTAGAGGGGGCAAATGTCGTTTGAAGACAACGATATCGTGTTCGAGCCTTCTTTATCATTTTCATCTACTTGATATATTTTCTATCTTGCTTCTTCTCCATTTCCCTTAATTCTGAAATATTTCCAATAGGCAATTGATTTTATGTTAGGATGGTAATTACTACATGTGCTTGAGAAGTTTATCGTTACCAAGACAAATTTCTCTTCATCTCTGTTAATTCCTAACTCTCCAAATGAAATTAGTGTGAAGGGAAGTAATTTAAATGTGATTTCATTATCGAAAATTTCTTCTCTTCTATTTTGTTTATATTTTAACTTGTTTATACATTTTTGTTGTTTTTATATTGTATAAATCACGTGTCTTTTCGAGAATACATCAGATATACTTTTATAGAATTTCAGATAGTACTTCTATTGTAATCCTCATTTCTCCTGTTCAAGTTTGTAGCCCCTGTAATAACTGGTGATTATCCACCATACATGAGAAATAATATAAGAAAAGGTCTTCCCAAAATTAAACAAAAGGAGGTGGCGCTAGTGAATGGATCTTGTGACATCTTAGGTATAAATTATTACATGACTTATTATTCCAGAAATATACGTGAAAAAACTCCACAACCCCATTATGACAATGATCTGCATGTTGAATATCGTAGTTAGGGCTGGGCAAAATGTCTGGTTCGAACC